CTTTAGAGAGCCATGTTACTTCAGTGTGAAGTAAAAGTCTCACATGGTCTGCATTTTGCTCTTCACAAAATAGCTTGAAGAGACACTCTCATTTGGCATTAGTTTTAATAGCATTGATACACTGAATGTAGTACTTCATTTACTGAATGTAGTACTTCATTTAGAACAGAGCTGTTTTTAGCTACCAAGTTTTCCCTATGAATAACACAATGCACAAAAATCATTCCTGGATTCTCATCTTTCATCAATTTTTAGCAGCCATTTTTCTTGCCCATTTTATTAGGATCGCCATCTGCAGCATAAGATGTTATATTTTTCATTGGTATATTATTGACATCTAAGTTCTTTAGCTTATTATATATATCTTTGGTGTCTAAGTTTTTTAGTTTATTATATCTAATCTTTTACAGAACAACATTTCATCAGCAAAATGCCCTTTATCAGTATATCTTACGTAAGTTATCAATACTGCCACACTGTCTATCAAAGTTGATTCATTCATATGCACTGAGAATTTTCTAGTTTTCAGCTATTCAACAAGTTGTTTTTCAATATCTTCACTCATTTCGTCTATTCTTCTGCTAACAGTATTGTTACTGAGTGGCATAGCTTTTGCATCTTTCTCGAGAACCATTTTAAGAAATGCTGATATTGACGGTTTTATTAAATTCTCTCGCATTGCATTTAAATCATTGGAAGCAAAAGGGTTAAACTCGTGTTGAGTCCATTTTCGAATTGCCCACCTTAACAATCAAATTGCCCCCCGGTGGGGCGTAGGCCCCACGTTGGGAAACACTGATCTAGATCCTCTAGACAACGTAATCGCGATAGAAGTCGCAATCGTCGATACAGACATTCAAATTCACGTAGTCGCACTCCTGACAATCTACATACGGGTAAATTATGTTGGTATCATAATCGTTTTGGTAATAAAGCACACAAGTGCATACAACCATGCCAATTTTCGGAAAACTAAACGGCTCGTCTGATGTAGCGACGGCAGATGTTAGCCAGTCTCACAGTCGCCTTTTTGTTTATGACAAAATATCTGGTTTCAGATTTCTCGTAGACAGCGGCGCAGCAGTTAGGTGTTTTCCTAAAAAAAATTTTAGAAAATAACAAAATTCAGGAATTAAATTTGTATGCTGCAAACGGTTCTAAAATTTCAACTTACGGCAATAAGCGTTTAGAACTAGATCTTGGTTTGCGTAGAAGGTTCGACTTCAATTTTATTATTGCTGATGTGTCAAGCCCTATTATTGGTGCGGATTTTTTGGAACGTTTCGGACTGTTGGTCGACGTTAAAAATTGTTGATTACTTAACAGTTTGACAACAGCTTTTTCTAAGGGCATTTCATGTCCTGGACCATCACTTGGATTAACTTTGGTCTCATCAGAGAACCGTTATCATGATTTGTTGATCAAATACCCGAATATTTTAAGTTTCAATCAATTTTATTATTGCTGATGTGTCAAGCCCTATTATTGGTGCGGATTTTTTGGAACGTTTCGGACTGTTGGTCGACGTTAAAAATCGTTGATTACTTAACAGTTTGACAACAGTTTTTTCTAAGGGCATTTCATGTCCTGGACCATCATTTGGATTAACTTTGGTCTCATCAGAGAACCGTTATCATGATTTGTTGATCAAATACCCGACTATTTTAAGTTTCAATCAAAATGCACTGCGCCAAGACTACGGTGTGACATACTGCATCGAAACATTTAGACCCCCGGTTTTTTTCCAAAGCAAGACGTTTATCGCCTGAGAAATTAAAAAATTTTCGTAAAGAATTCGCCGATTTAATAAAGCAAGGTATTGTTCGTCCAACTAAAAGTCCGTGGGCAAGCCCGATACATTTAGTTCCACAGAAAAATGGAGAATTTCGAATCTGTGGTGATTTTCGTCGTTTAAATGCCAAAACTATTCCTGATAGATATCCGATACCTCATATCCAGGATTTTTCGCATAATTTAAATGGAAAAACTGTATTTTCCAAATTAGATTTAGTAAAAGCATATAATCAAATAAGAGTTGAAACTTCCGATGTTCCTAAAACAGCAGTTATCACATCAATTGGACTTTTTGAATATATATTTATGCCTTTCGGTTTAAGAAATGCCGCACAAACATTTCAACGTTTTATTGATAATGTTTTAAGAGACATAGATTGTTGTATAGCATATTTGGATGATATTTTCATTTCAATTTTATTCGGATTTAGACAAAGTTCTGAAGCGTTTAAACGATTTCAATTTAATAATTAACTTGGAAAAATGCATTTTTGGTGTTAATGAAGTTAATTTTTTGGGATATTTAGTTTCAAAAAATGGTATTCAGCCTATACCTGAAAAAGTAAAAGCTTTAAGAGACTTTCTCTTACCTACATTTGTAGAACAATTACGCAGATTTTTAGCTATGGTAAATTTTGTATCACAGATTTTTTAAAGATGCAGCTAAAATCCAATCTTGTTTACACGATTTAACTAAGGGTAAAGATAAAAAAGATAAAACACCTCTAATTTGGACTGACATGGAAATTTCTGCTTTTGAGGCAGTTAAAGATGCGATTGCAAATGCTGTTTTTCTAGCACATCCCTTACCAAATGCAAATTTATCTCTTGCTGTAGATTCTTCAGATTTTGCTATTGGTGCAGTTTTGCAACAAAAAGTAAACAATGAATTGCAGCCTTTGAGTTTTTATTCTCGCAAACTTAATGCTGCAGAGCAAAAATACAGCACTTATGATAGGGAATTGCTTGCAATTTATTCAGCAATCAAACATTTTCGGCACATGCTTGAAGGTCGAAATTTTCTAGTGTACACTGATCACAAACCTCTCATTTACGCATTTCAACAAAAAAGTGACAAATGCGACATTTAGAGTTTATTAGTCAGTACACTACAGATTTAAGACATATTCCCGGTAGTGAAAATATAGTTGCTGACACTTTTTCGAGAATTTCTTCCTTCAGTTTTAATAATTCAAGTCATATCATTTTTGAAGAGATTGCGGAGGCACAGGTTAATGACACGGAGCTTCACTTTTTACTTGAGTCTAATTCCGGTCTCGAACTTAAACCTATGAATCTCCCAAATTCAAAAATGATCTTTTGTGATATTTCTACTGGTGATGTAAGACCATACATTCCTAAAGACTTTCGTTGGAGTATTTTTCAGACTTTTCATGGTTTATCTCATCCCGGAGGAAGAGTAACTTTAGACCTCATCCAGAAGAGATTCGTAATGAAATCCATGACCAAAGACACAAAGCTTTGGAGCAAGACTTGCCTCTCATGCCAAAAATTGAAAGTTGGACGTCACACGAAATCCCCTCTAGGAGAGTATGGACTTCCTAATGCCAGATTTTCGCATGTTCATATAGACATTGTGGGTCCTCTACCACCGTCAAGAGATTACAGGTACATACTTACATGTATTGACCGTTTTTCTAGGTGGCCTGAGGCATTTCCAATGCAGAATCAGACAGCTGACACAGTTGCAGAAACGTTCTTTGCTGGTTGGATAGCCAGATTTGGCGTTCCGGAGACTGTCACAACTGATCAAGGTCGTCAGTTTGAATCTGAACTTTTTTCTTCCTTGACTAAGTTTTTGGGAACACAGAAAACCGGGACGGTAGCTTATAATCCAAAGTGCAATGGAGCTATTGAAAAGTTCCATAGAAGCCTGAAAAAAGCAATTAAATGCCACCTAACTGAGCGCTGGATGGAAGTTTTACCAACAGTTTTGTTGGGCATTCGCTCAAGTTTAAAGGAAGATATTCATCGTACACCAGTTGAAATGGTGTATGGTTGTTCGATACACCTTCCAGGCAAATTTTTTTGCAACTCTTTTTCTAAACCTGTAACATCTCATTCTGATTTTTTACAGAAACTTTGTGAAAAAATGAGAGACTTGCACCCTGTTTCTCTGAATACTTGTGGTATCACTCGTCCAATCTTCATCCGTAAAGATCTGCAGTCTTGTAGCCACGTTTTTGTCAGGATAGACAGTGTCCGACGTCCTTTGGAACAGCCCTATTAAGGCCCATTTAAAGTAATTTCACGAACTAACAAATTTTTTGTTCTAGATCTTGAAGGACAGAAATCTAGTGTTTCTATCCACAGATTAAAGCCTGCCTATTTTCTATCTCATGAAGTTGCAAACTCTACCAATCAGTCTCCTATGGTAAAACCAGAAGTAACTACTAGGTCTGGAAGGAAAGTTCGATTTGTCCTGCCATTCCAAGCCTAAACGTCTTACAGACTGGAAGGGGAGTACTGTAGAGTTCGCTAGATCTGACCTGCGGATCGGAATACCGGACCTGCGACCTCTCATCCTGATATTCTTTCTGCTGTCAGAAATTAACTGCAACTGACTGCAGGATACTGATGTCGTAATTATTCATTGCACATTTTCTCCAGTATATATATATATCTGTAAAACCACAAAACTACTACTACTCTGTTATACACTATTTTGAATTTTAATTTATTTTTAAGTTAGTCACGCAGCTTTTGTGACTATCATTTTTCCGGAAAATAAAAGTGTATTTTTTATCTTCTGATTGTTTTGATGTTGTCTTTGGTTCCGTAAAAATGTGAGAATGCTATGCCTCGTTCCCACAACTCATACAATAAAAATAATATCAGGTACTATCTGATAACCAAAGTATAAAAGAATAGAAAAATGGTAAGATACAAAAAAAACATTAATTAATAAACAAAATTGGCAGTTAAAGTAAGGGGCTGAACTCTTGTGACACATTTGAAAAAATATTGCAGTGCTGCAAGAATTTTTCAGATTGCAGTTTGTATGCTGAACAATTGAAAGTTAGTTATCAAAAGGTGTAGAATATATAAACAGAATAAATACTATACAATTAAACTTTAATACTTAAATTTTTACGAAATAAAATTAACAAATAATGTATACATAAAAATGGTTATTTAAAAAGAAAGAAAGAAAAGAAAATAGAAGGGGGAAAAAAGAAACTTACCATTTTACAGCTAAATTTTGAACTTCTCCATTTTTATCTTCCAACAATTTCAAGAGCATTTTGACAACCTATTTTTACAAGTGCAATTAAAGTTCAAGTTACAAAATAGATTAAAATATATATATATATATATATATATACCTAATATTAAATATAAAAATACTCAATTACTTTTCTCTCACTGTCATCATCAAGCTTTATAGAATCCTTTTGCAATTCGACCATCAGATCATTTGTAGCCATAAAGCGAAAATCTTTGTCACTTGAAGTCATCTAAAATTGATTTCATGCAGTTAGTGATAAGATTATACTTTTAAAACTTAGCTAACCCTCGTAGCAGAGTGGGAGCGCGCTTTTCGAACACAGGTCCTAGGTTTTATTCTTGAGAAGGACAAACTTCACCTATTCTTTCAACTCTTCAGTAGGTCGATAAAAAAAAAGTACCGAGCTGGCTTGGGGACCACACACTTTGAGTTTTGCATTCGGCTGACCACTCAACTAGAGCATCTACTCCTGCACCCCAGAGCTCAAGATAACAGAAATGTTCACAGTATGCCCTGGCTCCCCATTAGCTTTAGCACCACTGAGTTTAATTCTTAGTTAACTTAACATTTATCAGACTAGACTTAAAAGCTTTTGTCAGTTTTGTGAAGTCTTTACATTCCAATATCATTCTTTAACCTTTAATCTAAAATAAATATGCTTTAAGCTACACTAATTTGCTTGACATAAGTCAGAGTCAAACGAAAAACAAAAGGTAACAATGATTTAGAGAGGGCTATCTAATAGTTTATGATTCTATTTAGTGGTCTGGAAATTATTCAGATTAAGTACAGTTTAATGAACCACTTTTGAAATACAAACTTAAAATAATGAATAAGCAAAAATAAATGTTTTTTTTTTAATTACATGCTATTATTTTGATACTTTGGCAAAAAGTAGTGTAATTTAAGTTTTAGGCCCTTCATTCATTTTTTCTCCTTTTCGTATTTTTTAGACTTTATTTTTATTCAAATAATTGAATTCACTAAATTTTTAATTTTCTCGCTACCCGAAAAGAGATGGAACAATATTTTAAAAATTATTTTAAGCTTGGAAATAACATCTTTGTTTACAGATAATCTTCCAAAATATCTTTTCAATTAATTTTCTTAATTATTCTGAACTGTGCTACATTACAATATTATCAAAAACAATTATCTTTCATAGATTATTTTCCTAAGCTTCAATGACCCATAATTATAGCTGAAATACTTTTTTTTATAAACGGGTCTTTTTTTTTAAAAAAAGGTCTATATTGCCTTGATCTATGTGAAATCTATAACAACTTACTTAAATACAAATAACAATCCATATTTTTCTGCACCTCAAATATCGAAAGCCAATTCAATATTATTAACAAACATTTTCTTCCATACATAACAGCTTTAAGATAGTCCATATTATTAATGGGTTTGTCCTTGTGGCAGAAATTTTTCTGGCTGACAAACCTCCCTAACACTAACAACCTTTTGCATGATATTTTTAATAGCAATGAATGTGAGATGTTTTCGAAAATTAAATATATTTTACCAATAACAGCGAAGGAAAAGTTTCTGTAAGTCCATTGGCAACACAGGCTGTAAACTGAAACATTTTGCTTTTCCCTCGAGGTCACTCATTATATTTACAGTGAACCTTGTTTGAGTTGCATTGCTTATATTGTCAGCATCAATTCAGAATCTCCCCAGAAAAGTGTGTTCCATAATACATTTTCACCGCGTAAAAAAAGTGAGCATCCGATAAATATTCAACATAAAATCCTTCCTGTCTATGGAAACAGTATGGATCAACAAAATGGCTTTCTCAGAAGGTAGGACTAAAATCAGAACAGTAAAACATCTGTGTTTCAAAGAACAGAGGAAGCAATTTGAGCAGAGTCTCACATTAAAAGATATGCTTAAAATCATATGAGAAGTGTCAATAGCAACTCTTTATGAAGCTCAGGGTATTGGAAATTGTGTTCTCGATAGGAACACAAAAGAGCAGCATGGTCTACGCACTTGACTTCCTCATACATTATGCAGCAGCATATAATTAGTTTCTTAATCACATTATAACTGGTGATAAGATATGGATTTATTATCACACACCAAAATCCAAACAACACTCAATGCACTGGCACGATAAAATTTCAACAAGGGCCAAAAAATTCAAAGGTTCAATTCCATAAAAAACAATGGCTTTTAATTTCTGGGACAGCAAAGCACATTTCTGGTTGACTTCATGCTTCCCGGCACAACAATTAATGCAGATGCATATTGTGAGACTTTGAGAAGTCTCAGACAGGCAATTCACAACAAACGTAAGGGTTTGTTGACAAGCGGAGTTTGCTTGTTCTTGTTACAAGACAGCACTCGTCTTTAACAGCATTTCAAACCAGGTACTGTGTAAATGTTTTAAATGGAAAATTTTTAATCATCCCTGTGGGCAGAGTTGTTATCGACAAAGCCAACCTTCATCTATCCAAAGGTACCTCAAGATAGAAAAGAGTTAAGACGTCTTATATACTAGTGAACTTATGTTTAATTATCGTAGTGGTAGTTAAGCCACATTCTTTCATACAATCCCCAACTTTCACCCAGCAAATGAAAACTGAAATTGAAGCACGGTTCAGATAACATGCTACAAAGATCTATGACTGTGGAATACGAAAGCTCATGCCCAAACTTATAACAAATATTTTGACAATGGCAACAAGTATGTAAAAAAATAGGGCATGCACCAGTAGGTAAATTGTATTGTACTTATAATCAGTAATAATTTTTTAAATGAGTAAGCATCATTGTATCCTTATTTTTCCAAAACGCCTCATATACTGTATGTTACTAATTTATAACAACAGAAATGCTTTGTGCTCATAAAAAAACTTACACTAAAAATAAAACTGCATATAATTTTTTTAATTGTAAATGTTTTTTTTTCTTCATAAATACATAAACAATATATATATTATTATAAAAGATATTCTTGCATTTTTGGAGAGAAAAAAACAATATTACTTTTTTGCATTTTTCAAGTCTTATCACACAAATTTTAAAAAATAATATATAGTAAAAAATCATGAAATCCATTGCAGCAACTACTGAAAAAAAACAGAGAAAAATCAGATTTATGATAAAAACAAGCGAACCGACCTCTTCAAAAAAGTGTTACTCAAATATGTGTTTTAATATTTGCTTGTTTAAATAAATAATATATTAAATGTATCAAATTTAAAAATTTCGTAGAAATCAATAACAATAACCACCGTGGCGACACAGGGACATTGTCGCAAAACGTTACAGATTTCTTGCAGAAAAATTTTTCCTTTGGATCAACAGTTTGCTCTTTTCTGCAGAATTTTAGAAAATTTTTTTTCCCCAAAATTAAGTTTAAAAGATGCCTTACTGGCACATCACAGAGGAAAGTAATGGTCATGACTTCTCTATTCTCTTTTGAGAAAAATGAAGTAAAGAATTTTGGGGGGTTTTTCTGCCGAAAGTTTCTAATGTTTCTTTTTTTTTGTTGATGATTTTAATATAGTACACATATGAAAATTTTAGTTTAAACATTCAAGTCTTCTTTATCGCTCACAACTTATGTATAACATATACGGGCTTACATTTATCGCTCGCAGCTTAAATATTTATTATTATTTAAAGTACCTCTATGAAAGATATTAGTGCTAGCGTTTGTTGCAAAAAGCTTGAAAAAATTCTACCACGTGGGCAATAACTGCCGAAAAGACTGATCAAACCATTGCATTAAAAAATAAATTTCTAACATTTCCAATATTATATAAAATATAACAGGATCTTAAAAAACCATGTAAAAATTAATACAAATAATTAACAAAAAAACAATTGAAATATTACATGGATTTAAGATACTAATGACCGAAATTGAGCCTGTCAATGTATAATTAGAATTTTACGTGTCACAATAGTATTCAATGAAAAATACCAATTTTAAAAAATTGGAAATCAGGAGCAATAATTGTCAAAAGGTCAAAAAAACATGGAATCGTCCCATTTAAAGTGAATAGTAAAATTAGCAATTTGAATTTCACACGTTGTAATAAAATTTTATGAAGAAAATAATTTATTTTCTAAAAAACAATAACTGTTGAAAAAACAATAGTACTTATGCGTAGATTTAAGAAGCTATTGAGGCAAACTGAATGTGACAAAAAGTGAAGACTTAAACATTTGATTTGAACTCATGACATGCCATATCAGGACTTAAAAAAAGCTTGCTTTTTTTATTTAAAAAACTACCATTTCAAGAGTGAACTATTTTTTAAACTTTTCTGATTTTAGAATGACTTTGATCAATTTGAAATTCTAGCCGAAGCCAGCCATTACGGAATTTTTATATTCTCAAACTTAACCGAAGAAAATAACTCAAAGAAATTAAAACAAACATTTTTCTTCCCCAAATGAAAAATCTTTCCACAAGACATCTGCAATGTTCTACGAGAATGTCGCCATGATTCTGCCACAAGGAAATTGGCATAATCAGGAATATACTTCTTTTACTTTAAATTTTTATTCTAACAAACACATCAGATCAATTAATGTGTATTCTGATTGTTTTATTAAAAAAAAAAGTAAAAATAGTTAAAAGGAACAATTTCAAGAAAAATTTTAAAGGAAAAAAATATTGATATTTTTTGGAATACTTCGTTAAAGAAAATTATTGTATGAAAAATGTAGAGTAGTTTTGTAGTATTAAAATTGTAGTAGGGTTTTTATTTTATATATATATTATATAATATATATATACACNNNNTTATATATATATATAAATATAAATACTATATATAAATATAAATACTATATATAAATATATTTATATATATATTTATATACAGTATTTTTATTTCAGTTAGTATTTTTATATTTTTATCGAGGACAGGTAAATTCAACTATATTAATTTACTTAGAGATGTACATTTTGCTAAAGGTTAAAAAAATATGAATATTATGTAAATTAATTGAATTTACTTTCACCAGGCTCACCCAAAGTGCTAAATTCTGTCATTAAACAAAAACAATATTTACAATGCTTTGAAATGAAAAGTTCAAGACCATTAAGTAAAATGTCATTAAACAAAGATTCAAATCTATCAATAAAATATCATCAACTTACAAGAAAGCTTCAATTACATTAGGAAAACATGTTTAATAGTAATAAATATAACTACTTTACATTAAATTTACAATTTTAGAAGTTATGTCAGTAACAGCTTGCATAAGTTAGTTTTTAAAGAAATAAGAGAGAAAGAGAATAAAAACAGGTAATGAGACAAAATTTGAATATAAACATTAGCTTAGGACCAACTTTATAGTTAATAATTAAATATAAAGGTATATCTTAAAAGAGAAAAATCGCAAAATATTCAGCTTGATTTTTATTTTATTTATGAAAAAATATGAAAAGAAATGATTAAACAAAATGTTTAAATAAAATGAAAAACATTAAAAGCTTTGTTTTGGGATAATGTATTAAACGTTATAATACAAACTATGAGCATTCGGTTCGAAAATTAAGATAATTCTGAGTAGCACTGGAACATAAAGGAATTAAAAGCAGTCAAAAATTTAAGATGCATTCATTCTTATTTACAAGATACAGTGAACTATATATATATATACAGGAGATATACATAGAAAAAAAAAGGAGAGAACAATAAAATGATTGCTATCTATAGTACTGTTGTTTGCATCGTTTGATGCTAACAACATTGATCGTTTGACGCAAACATTGTTCTGTAAAACATATCAATTAAAATTTCAAAATATAAATATGCTTAATTTTTGAAACCTTCTTTGCTCTTGAGTATATTTTGAAGAAAAAGAAACATTATCTTCTAAAAATCTTAATATAAGTAAAATGTATGTTTAGCAGAGATTACAAACGTTTACAACTTGGGCTGTTTTAATTTTATATAAGTGTATTATAAGATTTTCAATAAATGTGGTTAATTTTTCTGTTATATTATACCTTTTCAAGCAGATTCGCTATGTGGTACGATACACTCGCCATGGTTTATTAAATTATTAAATTTATTATTTATTCAATTTGGTTCCGAGCAGTTGCACAAAATAAAACCTTTTTCTTCATGCGGTGTCTGTAATGATGCCACTACGATTAAATAAAATTGTCAAACTGAAACTAAAACTGATTCGATATTAAATTTCTAAGCACTTAAATTATTCGAATAAAAGTTTCATAAAGCATTGAAAGAGAGTTAATTATTAAATTTTAGATAATTTAAATAGCTAATGATTCTAAAATTGAAATTGGATGAAGACTTGTATAGGGATTTTTTTTCCGATGTGACAGGCATATCTCAATTTTCCCTAACGTCAAATGGTACTGCGTGATTGGTGAAATGCGTGCATATGTTTCTTACGTATTAGTTGCATGTTATGAAAAATGTATCCTCCTCTTCATTAAACTTCGAAACTAAAGAAACTTAATTATAAACAAGCAAAATGAGTGATGGTAATTATTGAAAGTTTATCTGTTTCTATAATTAATTTTATTCTTTCGTGATGTGTGGATATTTTTTTAATTAATTTTCGCTACACCTTTTATATATATTTAAAAATCCATACCGATACACTGATATTTACTTATAGATTGACAAAAAGTTATAGTATTTTAGAGGTCAATTTAAACGTATATTGTTGACTCGAATGACTAAAATCCTTAACTTTCTAATCTTTGCATAATTATAGTATAAAGACAGTTATTTTAAATCCGTAATGAATTCTTTCATTATAATTAGTAATATAAATTTACAATTGCTTGGAGCTATTTACCTAGTTATTTGTCTTGCGAATTGTTTTATGAGCTAAAATTATTTGATAATCATAATAAAATTATTTGTTAAACATAATAATTGCATGTCCAATTAGAGGTGTCAGCTTTATATAATTTATTCATCAATTTTTTTTCCTCTCTCTCTCTTAAGATGTGTCATTTACTCATGCTAGTAATAGCAGATTATTTGCGTGTTCATTTTCAGTGTAGTAAGTTTCTGCCTTAGTGTATAGGTGGAAAATCTATGCATCGATAAAGAATACAAATTAATAAACTTGATGATTGTTAATACTGCTTTCCGTCTATCACTATTCATTCTATGCTTAAAAAAGCAAAATAGAAATTGTTTCTTTCATATTCGATAAATAATTTTTTGTATACAAATGTATAATAAATCAATTTGTTCTTGGTCAAGCTGCTGAAAGTATCTGAAAATAGATAAAATATTTCTTTCATACGTTAAAATTATTAGCTTTCAAAAAATTTGCTTATAAGATTGTATTTCTTTATTTAATTAAATTTTTATTTATACGAAATTCAATTTATTGCTACCTTTGAAAGCTGAATGATTTTTCTTGTCAACCTCCTCTAAAAATCAGTGGCGGGTAAGTTTTGGCAATTGATGGTTTTATCATTTTTTAACAGTCATGTCAAAAGACCCATTTTGACAATTGTCAAAAATCCAAAATTTTGAGAAAATACAATAATAATTATCTTATAAGAAAAGACACTTAAGAATCATCTTATTCTTCACAATTTTCATTTACTCCTATTTTGCCTCCTTCTTTCTCCAAAGTATGTGATTACAAAGATGATTTTTAAGTCCTCTATACTCTAAGTACATTTTTCAGTTTTGTATGAATGAGACCAAAATTCGAAACTATTCTTTTGATTGATGCTGAGGATATTGAAATAAAAATATTGATTTTTATCTTGTTACTTATAATTTGGAATCAATAGATGCCCAATTTTAATAGCGATGGAAAAATCCACATCTCGTTTTTCATTTTATTTTTGAAATTGAAAATTTTTATATACTAGAAAATCCAATTCATTCTTTTCTCTCTCTCTTATAAGTTATTGTAAAAGCCTGAAGCAGGCCTGCCAACTACTACCGTTTTTGCAAATATTTTATAGAATAGTAGACGTTTAAAATTCAAAGTTTTTGGTAATTTTGCCAACATTTTAAAAGCCTCACCACAAAAAAGCTGGAACAAAGTGGCATTGCATATGAACTTTTAAATTTATGTATAGTGGTGTGAATAAAAATAATACATTAAAACATAAACTTAGCTATCACTAGTATAAATTTTTGCAAAAAGCATAGAAAGTTGGCAGCCCTGTTGAAGTATGGTAAATCTAAGGTTTTACCAGTATACCTAAGATATACCAAAATGGTTTGATAAAAGTCCTTAGTCAGCTTTGACATGATTCCATTTCGGACTTTTACCGAGCCTTTGTGGTTAAATCTAGAAGCTACCAGTGCCTTCTGGTAAAAGCCCAAAATGAGGGATTTATTTTTTAACTATTGCCAAAATTAATTTTGGAAATCATTGATATCTTTTCAGTAGCTCATTGACAGAATTGTGCATGATATCAGCTTTATCACATATTATTTGTGAAATGGCATAAATATTGCTTTTTTTTTTTTTTTTTATAAATTTTGTTTTCTATTAAAATGTGTGTTAGCCTTTTTGGGGCACATTATATTGGCGATCAAAATGGGCTGCAGGTGGCGTAGAGCAGAACTCTTTTCCTATGGCAACACTTCACATGCTTTCCCCATTAGCGTGTGGAAAGTCATAGAGGAAGGAAGCACGTTAGTTTCTCTCTCTATTTTCATATAGATTAAAATCTTTTAACTTGAAAAACTATATGGAACTGAAAACTACATTAAACATAGTTCTAAAGAAAAGTATCGTGGAAATTTAAAAAAATATTTTTATTAAATAAAAAGGAAAAATATTAAGAAGAGGGAAAATATCGTAGTACATTCCCATACAACTCAAAAGAGGAGGAAAGGGAAGGGAGAAGGGCTAAAGGCATGAAACCGGTCGCTCCCCAGATGGCGTATTCGAGTGTTGCGATCGCGAATGGTACTCTTCCATCCTATTTGTTTTTGGAAATGAAGTGGGTTAGTTCTCATCAATTTGCAATCGATGACATCATAACTAAACACACGAGAGAGTGTAGACCTTTGTTGACGAAGTAAGTGGTCCTTTCCAGATAATGGTGAAATTCTTTTGTGAGCATTCTATTTGGTTATGATTTTATCATGTTGTTGATTCTAATTGTATTAGAGTTCTAGTTGTAAAAATTGGTGCTAAAAAAAGCCTCTAACTTAGCTGAAAGCTTCAGGAAACTAAACAGAAAATTTTATTTGATGCTACTAATGAGATTTTAAGAAATGAAGATGTTTAAATCAATTATTGTAATGCAAAGTACAGAATGCCTGCTAGTACTACTTTGACAGTGGTTCAGAATTGAGAAAAAATTAAAATAAATTGTGCAATCAATCCGTTAGAGTTTTTGAAAGAAAACATATGAGAACTGTTGAAAATGAAGAAATTAAAATTGTTTTATTACAACGCAGGGTTGGGTTTTTGCCGTTAAAAACTGGGTTTTGACAGGACAGAGGTAAAAACCGTCAAAAACCTACTGTTTTCTTTAATTTATAGCATATAGCGGACAATATAATATTTTCACATAATTGCCTTTATAAATGAATGTTGTAAATGATTGCTAATTGATTTTGCAACTATATACATGTATTCTTATTGAAAGATATACATTCATACAGAAAATTCATCGAATTTCGGTCCGGCTTTTTGGTTTTCTGATTTCCGGATAACGGGTTCTGTACTGTACTTACTTTTATCATTATAGCTTGATTTGCAAAGGATTCAAAATTTTGCACTTCTTAATTGTTAGAAATAAACAAGCAAACAAAAAAGTTTGGAACAATTAATAAATTCAAGAACTAAAAAGAAGAATTTAAAATTTGGCATTTCTTAAATATTAGAAATAAGCTAAACAAAACTTGTAACTACTAACAAACTCTATGTCAAGAATTACTGCTATTTTGTCAAGTTAAAAGCTTTTATTCAGTTGAAAAAGCACATTAAACAAAACTTAATTACAAACAAAATTATATGTTCAGTAGTCGGGGTCACTGTGCCGAAGCATACGATAGCAAGTGACTAATTTTGCACATTTTTCATTGCCCAGTCGATTTCTGAGTTTAGTATGAATGAGTCTGAAATTCAAGAATAATGAGGATTCGAGATCATTGAGGATAATGATAACAAAAGGTTAGTGCAATGTTGCAAGGAAACTCTAAAAGGATTTCCCAGGCTTTTTCATGTCTCATTTCTGTGTAAAATATTGAAAACAAAAATGATAAGAAAAGTTTTTTTTTGATGAGGCTTTCTTTTTATGTGTACATGTGTTTCTCACAGCAAGATTTTATGAATGAAAGTAATCAATCTTGACATTCTTCAGTAATGTAATATTCCAAACAAAATGCTTGGAAATGTTGAAAACTTTGTTTAGTATCCTAATATTTTACTTCAAATAGTATGTTTTGATATAATCATGTTGGGAAAATGCAAGAATCTCTTCTTAGATATCTTTTAACAACTTTTTTTTTTAATTTTATTGCTCAAAAATGAATTAATTTTAAATTGTAAGCAGTTAAACTCAAATAAAAATACAGTTTTACCAAAACTATGGGTTTTTGACATGACTGTAAAAACCATGGTAATAACCGGTAAAAACCGTCATGTGTCAAAAACTTGCCAACCCTGTACAACGGTTTGTTAATTGTTTTATTCAGAGAAGCTACGATCCAGAACATAGTTTAGAAATGTATGAAATCCTATTGCTCCCACTGTTATTTAAAAAAAAAATCAGCTATGGTATTTTCTCAGTTTACTTTTATTTCTAATTCTCTTTGAATATCATGTCAATTCCTTGATGTACGATGTTTGTGCTATTTTTTTATTTACCGCTCAATGGTTCAGTGATTTAGAAGTGCAATAGAGATATCTGTTGTACGTTTAAAATAAATGCATATATATGAATAGATTTGTAAGTTTTTTTTTCCCTTTGTTTCCACCTTACTTTTGAGGGTTTTTTTTATTATTATCCTTGATTTTTGTTATCTGTGATGCCCTTGCCGCCCAATTCTACGGAAAATTGGCTGGCACTTCTTTTGTATACTAGTAATTAAAATACTGGTCACTTTTGATTAAAGAAAATTTTTAAAATCAAATCAAACTAAAATGCATCTGACGTGATTAAATACTTATTCACAAGTAAAAATCAGGCCTTAGAAGCAAACTTTTGAAAAATGATTAATCACCATAATTTAAATTTTCTTTTTCAGAGAAATCCAAGTTAGAACGACATTTAACTTTACTCCGTGAAGAATATGTTAAACTTCAAGCTAGACTAGCTGAGTCAGAAAAAAAGTTTAGTATTGCATCTGCTCAAATTGGAAATGTTACTGGAGACTCCTTTATTGTTAGACTTCTTAAAACTGTTGCAGAACTGTTTGATAAAGAGCTATACAGGTATGTTGCTAAGGTCCCTCTTTCTCATTTGTTGGTTTAAACTGCCTTGCATTTGCCACACAATCTTAAATAATTGCCCTTGCCCTTAGTCTTCCAATGTTCTAATATCCTAGCAAACCTGTTAAATCACTCAGGGAGGTTATTAATGCAGTCAAAATGGCATGCTAAAAGGCATGTGAGCCTCAAATCAGTTCAAAAGTATCATTTCAGATATCCATTTCACCATTTTTATATCCAGAGTTTTCCATAGAAATAAAATAAAAAGTCAAGAGGCTTCCTCAGAGAAAAGGGTATTTTAAGTTTTCAAAGATCGCTCACTTACCTTTAAAATTTATCAAAATATGTAATATTATGTAAAATTTGATCTTCAACGATTTTCAAATTACACTCTTATACTATTTTGTGTGTATATTTCAAACAGCAGTACTTTATTCATTGTTGATATTATTCACTCATAATAACAGAATAATGTGAAGCTTTCAAAAAATAATTAAAGGCATTCTAAAATCTCTGTGTATAAAGTTTCTTCATAAAAAAAATTAACTAAAAAAATGATTAAATGATAAACTACTTGAAAGTTTTATATTTTTAATTTGAAACTGAAAATTATGAAAAAATGATCATTTACAGGTGCGTTTAAATGCTCATAGAAAGAATTTATTTAAAAAAATAATTGTTAAATTTAAGATCACTAAAAAGTTTGTCGATATACCCCCCAAAGAAAATCAAATGAAAATTTAACCAGTTGAGAATAATCCTAAATAAATAAATATTTGTAATAGTAAAAAGAATTAAATATATTATCACAGATAACTGAATGAATTATAACAGACAATGAATTTTTAAAAAAATTTAAAATGGAATTTGTAAACTAAATAACAATAAAAGTACACACAATTTATCTAGATGTAAGAATATATATTTATATTTAGTAAACTAAGCCTCAATCCATTTAAAAATAAATCATTATAATAGGTTAGATTTTAATATTTTGCATAAAAGTGAAATAAGATAAGTTATTTATTTATTTATTTTTTAAAGTAGATACGAAGAGGAACTTTTTTGTACTATTTTAAATTTAAGCTTTTATTTATTGCTAAGGTCCTTCTTAGATTTTAGTTCTTTTCAGTGTCTTGAAAAAAATATTTTTTTTCTGAAGGACTCCCAACCCTTGTTAACAATCTGGTTCAATAGTATAATGTCTTCAAAAAATTTAACCCAAATTTTTGAAAGTAAAAAAATAATTTAATATCCTTAGAGTTTCATAACCTGTGTCTCTGGTGCCAAATATTGATGTGAATTTTAACTAGATAACATAAGAAAAATCTTACGAAAATGAGGGAAAGAAATTTATAAATCAGATAAATAAATAAATCAGATGTTACCACAACCCCTTCAAAAATCTATTAAAGCTGTGCTGCTTTATGCAAATTTAAATTAATTTGTACTATAAAATATAGATCTAATTTAATTTGCTTACTTGAATTTTAATGGGAAAATAATCAGTTTCACTTAAAGGTAATCTTGAATCATGCAGATGGGAGTCTATCTGATTGGATGAAGTCAGTTAATTTATATTTAATATTCGGCCATTTTTGCTAAATTAAATATCACATAACTAACACACTTTTTTCAAAACATGAAGAAAAAAATGAAATTTTTAAAAGTTCTATTGATTTTTATTAAAAAAAATGAAAAACTATTTCACTTTGGCTAAATCAAATCTATTTCCTTAGCTGTTAGTAAACTTGGTTTTACTATAGATTAAGACTTATAAAAATATACTTGTTTGTTAATATTATATTGGACATATCATACTTATTTCTTACTTGTCAACTCTTCCACTTTTTTTTAGAAATTTCTTATTGCGGGAGTGAAACAAAAAAAATGTTGACAATATCACATTCACAAATGTAAGCAAAAATGTCTTAAATTTCATTAGTACTTAAAACTACCTCAATGATTATCTGATAATTTATAAGTGTTTAAATTAATTAGGCATAATGATAATCCTCAAACTATAAATCAAATTTATTAAAAAAAAAATCAAAGCTCTTAATACCATTTTCTATATAAAATCTACTAAAGTAGGAAAAGTTGACAATAATATAATTTATATACCTTTAGAATTATTTCTAATACTTCGTTATTATATGTAAGGTTAATAGCAGGCACTTATTTAGATTTTGGTCAAATTAGGAATTTCATTCAGAATTTCCCTTCTCTCAAAAATTTAAGTTCATATGATATTGATAAAACAGAATACATTGAGTAAATAAATGATGCCAGACTTAAACCAATATAGTTTAGTTATAAATGAGTTATGTCCATTTTTATATTAGAAATAATACAATATGTTAATATAATATTTTTAATTGTTATTTCTGTAATATATCAATGGCTCCACACCAAAACAGGAATTTGTCAGAGTAGCATTTTTATATTTTTTTGTGTGACACTGACAATATGCATTTTATATATAATATTTTTGTGCATATGAAATTTGTAGGGGGCTTATTTAAAGTATTTTGTAGTTCAGGGCATGAAATTTCCGTTCTAAAGATACTAGCTGGACTAAAAAAAAATTTCATAACAATTTTACATTCATGAAAATATGAATAATTTTTTAAATGTTAACAGATGTATAAGGAACTTTTTAGTGACCAAAACTATAAAAAAAAAATTAAGAACTTAAAACTTGTTTATTGCATTAATAATAATAAATTAAAATAAAATTGTTTTAAGGTTTCAAAAACAATGGTTTCATGAGTGAAAAGTGGGTAACTTAACATTTTTAGCTCTAAATGGAAGAAAAATGCCGTCACTTGATATAAAAACACTTCCAGATGCCGCTGGATTGAGGCATGCGTGTAACTGTGTTAAATAAGGGTTTATTGAAATCTCAACAATTTTGAAGATGAAACTTAAATATTTGCTAACCAATGGCGAGCTGCCCAGTAGAAACCCTGACGTACCTTCATATTTAGAAAATTTATCATGCAAACTGATCAGTTGTGTTAAGAACTTTTTCAAAAGATTAAATGGTTTCTTTTGACAATTTTCAGTGACTTGACTGTGGAACTGAATGGTCGCAGCATTAGAGCTCACAAATTTGTCTTATCTGCGAGAAGCAATAACTGGGGTGTTCCAAATCTTGCAGATGTTGACTCTATTGATTTGAAAGGTTTTATAATGTTTGCCTTTTTTGCTTTCAAAAGGTTTAATAATTTTTAAATGAAAGTATAATTAAATGAATTTTTTGATATTCTTTAGATATTCCGCAGGATATTGGTCTCACTTTGTTGAAATGGGTATATACTGATGAATTGGATTTGAACAAGCCTGATAATTTTTTTCTTGATCTTATGAGATTTGCTAAACGCTTTGAACTACGAAGTTTAGTTGACAGGTAATAAAGTTTTTTGTTGTTGTTGTATCTTATCCTCTAATCTTTGTTGATTCTTTACCTCTGTTGATTCTTATCTGTTGATTCTTATCCTCTAATCTCTTTCTAATCCTCTATCCTCTAACCTACTGGATCTTGTCTGACTTCGTCAGACAAGATCCAGTAGGTTGTTGACCCTCAAAAAGTCTATTACAAGAAGTGGAGAAGCATATAAGTCCTCCTTGGAAAGGCCCAAGCAGTCGAGGATATGTTTGGCTGAGGCCTGCTGGGCTTCACATTTGGAGCAGACTGCATAAGTCTTTCTTCCTTCAAAGTACGAGAGACTATTCGTGTGTCCACTTTCCAATCTGGAAATAGCTGTTTAAGATGCTCTATCACCTATATGAGCAAGTGAAGAGCCCAGTTCCTTGGCCGCATACCAATGATATGAGGGGAAAGTTTTTTGTAAATGCCTTATGTATTTTTTCATTGCTAAGAGTTTTTATTTATTTATTTGCAAGAGCATTTCTTTCTGCAACATTAGCCTTCGTGCATCACAAACACATGAAATTGAAGCTGTGAAAATCTTTTTACAAAAAGATTAAGCTGTCATAAATTTTATAACAGTAACAAAAAATATGTCAAAACAAAAGAAAATCAATCTCTGGACATTAACTGCATCACACCAGTATTTCTTCTTTTAAAAAAGGACATTTTACTAAATGGTTTTTGTCCATTTCCTAACTATGTTAACATAAAATGCACACAAAACTAATATAAATGTTAGAGTGTTTGGCGAGATGAAATGCTGTAACTGCAAGGGATCCATCTGAGATATCCCCACTCCTTGTCTCTAAAGTTAATAAAGCATCATAGTTTTTCCTTATAGTAGGACAGTCTAGATTTGATTTCCATGCTGGAGGGATTGTAGTTTAATTATCTCCTGTACTTTGCAATAGATGCAATTTTACTTTATTATCAATTTGAACAAAGCATTGCTTTTTGTGACAACAAAAAGCTTTTTAAATTTTAATATCTGTTTTTTTTTAAGAGTCAAATATTTTTTGTGATTTTTATTTTGTTGTTTTCCAGCGTGTAGGTTATTGTGATGCCATTATAAGCTTTACATATTTCCTTAGCTTTTAAATTTCCTCTATTTCAGAAATTTAATCTTTCCTAACACCTTCTTAAATAAATAATTAACTTAATTTATTTTTATTCAATTTCATGAAGAGCGAATGCAAATATTTTTACTCTCAATAAATGTAACGTATATAACTTTTTATTTTAATGCAAGTGTATAACTAATTATTTGCTCAATATGTCGCAACAAGTGAGTATCAAAATCTATTTTTAACCATTACTTCTTCAACCTTCTTAGATATTAGAATATTTGTTATTAAGTTTGCTTTTATTTCCAACAAACTTTTTGGTCTTAAATATTCAGCCAGATTATTTGAAATTTAATGTTAATAACGTGGGGCCGGCTTTATAGTTAGCCTTATTATTTTTCGATTGCCAATTTTTGGATCTCTTACCGTTGCTCGGTTAGCAAGTACTCAGTCACTTGTAATTTAATTTTGTTCATGTTAGGACTGAGGGATGCCTATGACCCCTCAGTCCAACCATTGAAAGTGTTACAAAAATTATATAGAAATGAATGCTTAAAAAAATGTCCTCATCTCTGTAAAATGGATCGTCTGATATATTAACATATTATTTTTGAATGTGACCATGTTTGTTAATTTTACAAATGCTACTTAAGAAAAAAGAATGATTTTCTTTGTTAGATGAGCAATTTCCCTAATTTAATACAAAAACAGAATTGCACTATGATCATCTGGCATTATATTATTTTTTCTTTCCATAACGCACTAAAGTAGTCCAATATTTTTTTTCTTGATTAAAAAGCTGATAGCAGAGTATAAGTTCATCTCATACTCTGCTATTACGTAGGAGAGAGATGGCCTCTTTTTATTAATGCACATAGACAAATCAGAGATTGTGGGGTCTTGAACGAATTTAAAAGGAAGTAAGAAAATAAAATGTATTTTAAATCATTACGCTTAATACTTTCGCATAAATGAATCTAGTCCCAAAGTCTTTTATTTCTTTTATTGGTTTTGTGTTCATTTTTTAAATTTATGTTCAACACAATGTGTTTAATAATTTCAAATAAATAGTTCTGAAATTTTTGGTTCCTTAAATGGTTTTGGTTTTGCTCCTAAATTTTATGATGAAAGCTAATATAAATAAATATTTAACTTTTATATTACACTATTGAAACTTCTTTTTTAAATTTTTTTGGGGACTCTACATAACACATTTTAATCCTACAGACCTAACATAAAAGACCCTATAATCTACCTACCTGATTCTACAGAACCAGTGTATTATCTGAGGAAAATAATTCGCAACTAAAACTAGAGAAGATGAGCAAGGTGCATGCAGTCACTCCGTGAAACATGCACAAACTTTGAAAAATGTCAGCAAGTTTTTTCGAAAGTGATGAATTAAATCTATTATTTTTTTTATTCGATTCTTTTTTCTTATTTTCCGTGATAAAATTCATTCTTTACAACTTATTAGTTTTTCATGGTTGACTGTATGAAATGTGTTATTTTCCATATTTTAACTTTACTTTTCCTTTACTGTATTGATGGCCAACTCACCCCGGCATTAAGAAGAGATGGTCAGTTGTAAGTTTGTTTGTTTTTCAAACATATTTTTTTCGTATTTGGTTCTCAATATTTCGCTATTTTTTGCTCAAAATACGTTGATTGCTTGCATTAGAATTTAAAATATGCATAATCATTTCTTGTATCCCTATTCTCAGTATTTTTTTCCAATTTGGAAAACTGTGGCCATCTATCCTAAACTTATTCTATTTTTATATTATTATTGATGTAAATGGTTTGTCACTATTATTTAGCTTCAATATATCTGTTCCCTTCTTAGCTATTTTATCAACCTATTTGTTCCCAGTCACTCCAACATGTACTAGTATCAATTGACATTCATCCACCTTATGGCTAAGAAACTGAGAGTTTTTTTTTTTTTTTTTTTTAGATTCAATTGTTTTCTGTTATGTGGCATTGTGTGTGGAAATAGCTTGAATAGCTTTAATAGAATCTGAAAAAAATGACAATGTTTTTGAGTTAAATTGTTCTAACAGTAATCTTTTTAGTTGCAATTCTAATTGCCTCCAGCTCTCCATCATTGTCTAGAATGCAAAAAGCTTCTGAATTCACACCAGCTCCTACTTTGTCGAGCATTTTCAATCTATCAATATGTATATGAAGCCAGTTATTTTTTGGTAAAATGTCGGCATAGCAGCTGCATATAGTTCAGTTTATGACTTTGTTATAGCGTTAATCAACTAAAATTTGTTTCTTGTAGATGCTAGAAAAAAAGGATTTGTTGGTTTCATAAAGTTTTTCTGTGGGATAATCAGATTTCAGTTTTTAAACTTTCTTTCTGAATCTGTTTTGGGTATTCATTGCTAAAAGTTGCCTACTTTAACCTTTGGGAAGATGGAAATTTTTTAAGCATTTTCATTAGAAAATAATTTTTTATTGTTATTTTTAAATCTTCATTTTTGATTGCCACCACCATTGGTGGCATTCTGTTGCTAGTACTTCTGGTAATTTCAAAAAAAAATTGTCACTGTTTAATGTATAAAACTCAAAATGAAATAGCAAAACTTGTTTCTCATCATGAAGCTTAAATGACAAACTATTTTACAAATCAAGGATTTAAGTTTGTCGTAATATTATTCTGATACAAGTTTCTGAAGATTTCTCCAGATAACGATATGATAGAGGTAAACATCTTATCAGATACATGGAAATTGTGGTGATTTTCTACTACTCTCTTGATCAGGCCACAATTTCCTTTTTTAAAAGTCAGTAGCAATGTTTGTTAATGCGGAAAATTACTATTAGCAAAACCAGGGTTCATACTAGTAATTTTAAAGCAAAATTTCTTTTCATTTAGCGATCCCAAAAATGCAACAAAATCATTACTGTGAAGCAAATTGCATTAAAAAAATTTTAATGCTAAATATTTATACTTATATAAAGTTCAAATAATGCTGTTTCATAGTGGTTTCCTGCTACAAGATATCTTGTGTTTCCAATATTGTAAAAGTGTGCACTAAGGTTTGTCCATTTGGAAAAATATAAGATTTTTAAACTTTTGTTTCAGGAATCATGTTGAAATGGCAGAAAAACCATGTGAATTTGAATGGAAATTGGCGCAAAGAGACCATTAAGTTTCTGGACGCCATAATAGATTACTAGCAATTTTAGCTACTTATTTTTCCGTAACTGGCATTTGATTTTATTTAACTAGCAATTTGATACTTTTAGGAAACAAAATCATGCTCTGATCAATTTTAAAATGTGACTTTTTGCCCCAAGCTTTTCAAATAAGGACATTTGTTTAGTGAATATTCTTTTAAAATAATTGTTGATTTTATTCTGAAAGTTTTTTTAATTTTTAAAGCGTAAAATATTATTTAAATTTAATAATACAACAAAATTTATGCTATCACAAATATAAAAAAACTAGTTTTCAAGAAACCACACTGCTGACTAAAATTAACCTCTATAGTAGTTAATTTGAAGCTAAGAGTGTTGTGGCCTTTGGAGAAAAGATGGGAAATTTTTATGGTTTTTAACTCCTTATAACGGGGAGAGGTTGCTTTGAATACTATTCTTTTTAATTGGATTCAAAAATACAAAAACGCTGAAGCACATGTGAACTATGTTGAATAAACTTTAGAATTATGCATTAAACAAAATGCTAAAACTAATTGTATTTTTAGAAGAAACAATGATGAATGTGAAGCATTCATAGATGCTGATTAGTCGATTGGACAGGGGCAGATCTCTCTAGTTTAAAACATGCTTTTTAATTAAGAAAGTGTTATCTAGTGTGTACATTTAAAAATCGAAAATATAAAATAATTGATGCAATTTTTTGCTTATAATCATGAAGCAATTTTTTTTTTACTGAATGTAATGATATATTTTGTAAATTTGTAAAGTAACTGAACTTATATAAATAATAAGAGAAGTAATATATTATATACATGATCTTGAATGTAAGACACTTATAATATTGTAATTTTTTACATGAGTTTCATCGCTTGAAAGTTAAAATATGAAAAACTGAAATTAATTTCTATCCTTTACCTTCTGGGATCAATATGCTTGAGATTTTGATTATTTCGTATTCGAGGCAATTTTCCAATTTATGACCTGATAATGCTACTTCAATATAAAAAATTTGATACTTTATTTCCTTTTTAGCTTTATACTTTATAGTCTTTTTCAGTTTCCATTGATATCTATACAATTATATAAACATTTTGTGTTAATGTGAGTATTAAATAATTTAATATTTTGCTGTTGAGTTTTATCAATGCTGAAATTTAAAATTTTTTCTAATACCCTATGTTCATTTTTAATTAAAGTTATTACCTTATTTTAATTTTTTAGATGTGAAAATGCTTTATTATCTTCTGTTAATGTCCATAACTGTGTCAAATTTTACCAAGCAGCTGATGAAATTGATGCAGCCACATTGAAAAGTCATTGCTCACAGTTAATATCAAATCATTGGGTAAGTATTCTGTTTATGTTAGAATGTTACTCTTTTAAAATTATTTAATAAAAGATTATAAGTAGTTTTACTAAAGAAATCTCAACATTATGTTGCCATTTTTTAATAAAGCCATTTTTATAGTTTAGTATTAAGTGTATGAGATTGAAATTATCCATTATGTCCAAGACCTTAAAATGTTGGTGCAAATTTGTGAAATTATTTCAAAAATATTGCATGACAGTAAATTTTTTTGACAAAATTTCTTTCTTAAAAACTATGCATTTCATTATTATATTTAAAAATGTTACAGGTGAAATGCAATGTTACAGTGTATACTACTCGTTAAAAACTGTATTTTGTAGATAATAGCTATGTCTTAGAACTAAAAGTTTCACAGTGCAAATTTGTAAAATCAATATTTTAAATGTATTATTTCCCTCTATAAATATCTGCATTCTATTATGATTTTTGAAAAAAGTTAGAGTTTATGTTACAGCTTATAATAAAATAAATACCACTATTTTTACATCAGATCATTATTTAAAAAAATATATCCAGACCCTAAATGCATAGATTTTGCAGGAAAAATTTGTAAAATTAATTTTTGAAGTGACCGTTTTAAAATTAGAAATATTTCCCTCTATAATACTTAATATTCACTACCTCAACTATCATTTTGAAAAGAAATTATAGCTCAAATAGAAAGTTTAAAACATCATTTTATAGATCAAAGTCCATTTATAATTTTTGTTTTCCTTAAAACATTGGTCTCGTGGTGCAATTTATTTTAAAAGCGTCCATTGTTTGTAACTTCAATTTTTAGCCTCAACTCCCTCTGTTAATATAGACATTCTACTACAATTTTTTTTAAAATTTTACAAATTAAGTGCAAAGCTTATACTGGTATTATAAATATTGATTTTCTTGAAAAATATCTAAGTTTTAAAAATATAGGTTTTCACTTTGCTAATTTGTAAAAGTAATTTCTAAATTGTGCTTTGCAATGTTGAAATGTAGTCACTTTCCCTTTATTAAATTGGACTTTCAACACCCATCTTTAAAAAAAGTAACAGCTCAAAAGTAAGTTAGTGACTTTTTTTTTTAAATTACAATTTCAGGTATGTATTCAAATATTCATTAATAATGTCCAGAAAATAACTGAAGGCTTTTGTAAAAATATAGGTTTTGTAGTGCAAATTTGAAATATTAGTTTTTAAAATATCCCTTGTAACATTAAAAATGAATCCCTTTTTTCTCTCTATCAGCTGTCATTTTATTTTAAACAATCCCATTTCGAATAAATTGTATGACTCTATTACAAAGACTGAAAATATTCAATAAAAGAATACAAATTTCACATTCAAATTTGGCTAAATTAATATCTAGACTGCCCCTTGTAACTTTAATAATTAATGTCATTTCTCTTTACAAAACTTTGCATTTTACTGCTATTTTTTGAAACATAAAGAGCCACCCTTTTAAAAATTGACACAAAAAGTGATTTTTTTATTTTTATTTATTCTTATTATCTCTCATAATACATTTTTTTTTACAAAAGAAAAAGTTTACATATTTTTATTTAAGAATATATAGATATTAGTTACATTACTTTCAAACCTAAAAACAGTGTCATGATATTTATATATATATATATATATTTATATTTCAGAATGATTTTACAAGTGAAGATTTTGCTCATATGAGTGATTCCTTATTGTATAAAATGTTTAAAGCTAAAACAGAATTCATACTACACACAGCAATCAAGATCCAGAGAGAAGATGTTGTCTTCCTCTTCTTATTGGAATATGATTCTCAGGTAAAAATATTGTTTGCTTACAATAGCTGTAACACCATATATAATTGCCTACCAGATGTTATAACTTCCAGTCGTTATATAGTGAGTGTACAAAATTCCCTAAATATTTACTCTTTTTACTAAAAAATAGGAGACTCATGCTAACAAGACTTTTTTTAAGAGTTTGACAACTAACGAAATAGTTGAAAAAGCACACAGCTAGTTTATGTTAATAAATACGCCTTAAAGAATAATACACTTGTTCGAGGCAGTCATTTTCGGTCAGAATCACTGCAAAGACCAAATGTTTTAATTCTAAAATAAACAACTTCTATTACAATTTTTTTTTTATATAATTTTAAAACAAGAGAAATATGATTGTTACATTTAATGTGCCCTTTCAATTGAAATTTACGCAGATTGCAAATGCATCTTTTTAAATGAATGTGGGAATGATTTTTACATGTCAGTGAAATATATAATTTTGATTATCAACAATGTGTAGTAAATCAATAACTTTTTGATCATAGGTCTTAAATAAGAAGCTATGGGGGGGGGGACTGTGTCATTCTTCTTTCATTAAAAAAAAATTTGTGATAACATCAAAGGAAATAGCAGTTTAAATAATTTCTTTGAATTTTTTTTTTAAATTAACAAAATTTCTGTCACTATCAAAATAACATTGTCTCTGTGAAATAGCAGACAGGACTTTATATATTGCTGATTATAGAAAAAAGATCGTTATAAAAGGAAGTCATTAGATTGCAAAATTTCAAAGTAAAGAAATTATTTACATGTTTCAAATTTATCATATTATTAATTTAATAGTTCTATTGAGTCTCTCCTCAAATGTATGGCTATCTAACTAATAGTTTTAGTCTAATGAAGGGTCATTGAAAAATTATACTGGAATTACAAAATTTTAATGTGTAAATTAGAATAATTTTTTCTCATGATTTTGGTACTAAAATGTTAAGAAAGGAACAAATTTTTACATACATTTTGATAGGTTCACCATTGGTTTTTCATAAATCTCCTTCCATATTTTCTGAAGCAACTATGATTAGATTTTCTTAATTTTTATTTTTTTTAGCACAATTTTCTAATTCTATCTCCATAAAAATTGCAGTTGCACGCGTTCACCCTATGAGCTTAGTCTCATCTAAGGCTAAATACTAAAATAAATACTTATGATTGTGATATTTCAAATGATTATTTATCGATTTGCTGGTTGAAATGTTCTATTTTCAAACATCTACTAAATGAACCTTCTAATTCATATATGTTTCTTATCTAGTTGCATTAGACCACCTAGCATTCCAAGATTCTGTAAGCTCAGTGATTGTCAGTTCTCACACTATATGCTATTTTAAGCATTTAATTCTCTTGATTACTTTGGAAAATGTTATTCTAGCCATGTTGCTCATGTTTACCTTGTTTACTCCTTTCTCTAAATAAATATATATTAAAATAATTACATCAATAATTATATACTAGATAGAAGGGATAATTTGGAAGTGTGTATTATTCTGATTTAATAGCCAGATAGTGAAGATTTTGTTGTATATTTAATTTAATTAGTAGTTATAATTCTTTTCTTTAATATTTGCTTTTAGCTTGCAACCAAAGTAAATGAGTATGATGAGCATGGTGACATACCTTTGGATCTTGCTTTAAGCACTGGCCAAGAGAGTATAGCCAAGACTCTTATGAGTCATAAAGCTAATATCAATCAGATTGATAACAGAGGATGGACTCTCCTGCATAAAGCTGTTGCCAGAGGTGAGTTTGAATTTAGTTTCATTTTGTTGTAATGGAAATGGGTGTATAAATATAACTGTTACATCAATAAATATATTTTAATAACTTTTAGGAGTTTCTTGCACACTTATCAGTTTCACTGAAAAATTTTGGTTACTTTAAGTTAAACTATGTGTTCATTTGAAGTGATGCATATTCATTTTAGCTCATATTATTTTCCAAAGCCTTTACAACACCAATTATATAAACACCATTTAACTTACTACCTCTATTAACCTAAATCTAATCCAATACATTATGTTTAACTTATAACCATATTACCGTCATTCTGTGGAGATACGCGATGGCATTTAAGATTTAAAACGTTTAATTTTGATATGTGATACCTATCCAATGTTTCTTTTTTTTTTTCGCTATTTGAGCTTGATATTCTATTTTGTTGAATTGGTTCTCCAAAATTTCATTATTACTCTTGCAATTTTTATTTTTTGAAGTAATCTAATTTTATAATTTATGATCAATAATAATTTAAAGAATTAACAATACAGGTGGGGAAAAAAACCTTTTACCGAAGAACACGTTGAGGTATTCTATTCCCTCAAATAGTCTCTTACAAGGTTCAACAGAAGTATGATTCCCCTTCTCCCTTTTTTCTGCTGCAGGTGGGAAGGAAAAGAAAGTGAAAGAAAATGTGCAAGTCATTATTTGATTTAATAATATTTAAGTATATCAAATCAATTTCTGATAAAGTGACGTGATGCTATCGCAATTGTTCTGTATGTTATAATTTTACGCCTAGTTAAAATATTTTCATTAAATTATTAGTTTTGATAACTTATTTAAATTATATTTAGGTTCTTAATCACTTAGTTTACATTAAATTCGAGTATTTTAAATTTTGTATTTATTAACGTAAGGCTTTTGCGATTCTATTATGCTTAAATTTTGCACAATTGTACATGGTACAATTTTGCGTACATTTGAAAAGTTCTGATTAAAATTATCGATACACGTAATTTCTGTTTTTAAGTAAGATTGCATATATTAATTTATTGTATATTTACTAATTATTTTATGATTTTTAAACATTTAATAACTCATTTTGTTATTTGTGGCAGATGCGTAAACTCTGTGATCGATCATGCAGTAAAATTTTGTGCAGTGTATCTCTGATGGTACAGCCTTTCAGATAAAAATACTTTCCCTTTTTAGTCAAATTTTAAGGATGTGACATATATCCCAGGGCGGCTTTTTTCTGCAAAATTATGATAGTTTCTTTTACATTTACATAACTGCTAAGTCTCCTGTTTTTTAAAAGAGACTTCTTTATTTTACGATTATCTCCTTTTTCCCATATATTCTCTAACCTCTCCACATTTTTTAAAGAACTTTTTTTTTAAAAAATAAACTTGTTTTAGCTATAAAATTTCCTTTAATGGCAAGAAATTTTTTTTTCTATTTTGCAACTAGGAAACAGATTGTATAAAAACAGTTCAAAAATATTGCAGATGATATGTTAGGGAATCTATGGGTTCCACTTAGCAACGCCGAGTGGGGGAGAATTTTCTCTAGAGTAAAAAAATATAAAAAATTTCTGCACTTTCTGATGAAATATAATTTCTCTAGTATAAACATAACTTTGATAAAAAATTTCTTAGGTAAGATTGAATCAACTGTATGTTCATAATATGAATATACGAATATTCTGAAATATAATATTAATTTCTAAGAATTTTTAAATTACCTTAATGTGGAGTGTTTAGTTAAAGTAGTTGTGTGTAAAGATTTAAAAAAATTCTTCTTTAGATTAAGACTTATATTTAAAAAAAAGTGAGGTAAGACTGGGAAAAGATATGAAGGCCTGAGCTAGTCTGTTCAACCTAGAAACTGTCAGATTTAAGCAAGTTATTTATTACTTAGCTGTGTACAATATATCATTCCTGAAAAATCATAGATGTACTACTTTTTTTAAATGATTTTTTTTTCTTATGAAAAAAGTCAAATTACCCATTCTTACCCCACTTGTGAAATAATACCAAGTACGCATGTTAATTCTATGGAAAATTCAGAGGTACAAGTATTTCAGTGATTTACTTTTATTTTATATGATAATTTTAGAAAATTGTGCATGTTATTTATGTGTGATGTAATCAAGGCCGTATTCAAAGGGGGACAATTGAATATGTAGGGGGAGGTCTGCTGAGTGCCCACTCAAAATTTCTTAAGAAAAATAAATTTTATTAATTAGTTACTTTGAAAGAAAATTACAAAAAAAATTTTTTGTCTATATAAAAACTACAGTTTTGCTTAAACAATCTTCAAAAATTTAACTAAATATAAAAATAAGGCTTTTTTGTGTTCTAAGAAAGGAGCCTGTAAAATCTTTGTTCTGTCTTGAGTGTAGTTATCTTCTTCATTTTCTGCCCTACAATTTTCATTTGCCCAACATGGAGTCACATCAAGGAGTGGGGCAAAATCGTGTAGTACCCAGTCTCACCCAGAGAGCCGAGGTTATTGACAGGGCTATTAATGGATTAAAATCTTATTAAGATATGAATCTTTTAAGGCAATAAACATTTAATGAGCTGGATTAAAAATAATTTTTGTTACTGTAATGGCCAATAAATAAGGCTAGTTTAAATATAAAAGAGCATTAGAGAGTTGACATAGTAAAACTTATCTACACAGATGCAGTGAATTAATCAACAACAACATGCCAATAGGGTAGGCCCTTGTTTTTAGCTAAAGTGTAATAATCTCTATTAAAAATCTGTTTTTTTCCCCCTCCCATTTTAGCAGGTACTCTTTTACGGGGTTCCCACGGTACTTAAAAAACCTGGAAAGTCCTTGAACTCTGCCATAGGGTACTTGAAAAGTACTTGATTTTTTAGGATTTAAGATAATTCTAATCTTTCTTACAAAAAAGCAGTAAAAAAATAATAAATTCAAAGGAAGAATATAGAAATTCTGATAGATGCAATTTTTAATGCTTGAAGTGAAAAGGGGTTAAAGAAGATGCAAAACTTTTCTCTCTAGATTTTTCACACCAGATTGAAAGCAGAAATTTCTAGCAAATTGTAGGTTTTATACTCATAGTTTTCGAATTATATATAGTGTTTAATCGATTTAGAAATATGTTCAATGTGTTAACTTCATTATTATGACAGGTTAATATTGTTATCCTATTTGTTCTTTTAATTTATGTACAAAGGATAATTAATTTTTTATCATTTTTTAATCGAGTTTTTACATTTAGCTTTTACTGCTAATAAATAAATTTAGTTCTAGGTGTTTCATTGATTATGAATAAGCATCGTGATTCACATTAAACTGATTCTTGATTTACGGACTGGAATTCATATAAAATGTTCTACAAATTGTGATTTAGATGAAAGTGATTAATGAATCACATATCGAATATTACATTAAAGTGCTTTGCAAATTACTCATCAGGAATCGTATTAAGGTATTTTATAAATCACTCATCTTGATTCACATTTAAGTGATTTATCAATCACACATCGGGATTTCAATTAAAGTTATTTCTGAATCATATAACATGATACGTATGTGTGTAATTTTAGAATCATGCCTCACAATTCTTATTCTAGTAGTTTAAAAATCTCACAAAAGAGAGATTTAAAAGTTACCATTCACAATTGCCATCAAAATGATTTGAGAATCACACATAGCTGTTCTATATTAAGCACCTTTCGAATCACAAATTGCAATTTGCATCATAATGATCACTATTGATATGAAAACTATTAGCTAATCACGCAGCAGAGTTCCCATAAAAGTGATTTATGTATCACACATTGTGATTTACGTCTTGTTAGTTCGTGCGTCTTGTATTATTTGCTATTCATATTGTTCTGATTTGAGAAACTTACACAGCAATTCAATTTCAATTTACAAATCACACATTGTGATGCGTAATTTACACAATCTTCAAGACTTACTTCACCTTTCTTATAATTTTCATTTGCATATAGTATATATGTAAATTAGATTCGTATAAATGCGATTTAAAAATCACGCTTCATATTTTATGGATATATTTTTAAAAAAATAAAGCTTGGTCTTAGTTATCTGTAAAATATTGTTCTGCAATCGATTTTATTATGTTCAAAATGCATTACTGATATTCTGAAGTAACAAAATAGATAATTTGTTATTAAAATTGAAACAGATATCTTAAATGGATATATTTTGATATTTTTTCTAATTATATTCATTTCCTGTAACCTAAAATTTGATCCAACATATTAAAAATAGTATTTATATTGTAATAACTGTACAATCACGCAAACTTTATCAATTATTTATTATGCTTGTTTAATGTATGCATTATTCATTAATTCAGTTTCATTAATTCTTATTCACTTCATTAAATTTTTCATGAAGAGTTTCGCTAAAGCTAGTATTTAAATGTTGGCTAGTATCATTCGTATGTCAATTGGATTTTTTTTTCTTTTTTTTTTGTCAGTAGGAATTTTTAAGTGATTTGAAACAGCAATATAACTATCAACCATTTGTATTATTAACTGATAAATTTAATAAATATTTTTCTTTTTTGTTGTTGTCAAATAAGCATTGTGCTTTAAAAATATACAATTTCTGCTTCTAAGTAATTGTAAAATTTGGTTAACATGTACTTAAGCATATAACTGTAATACCTAATAGGTCCTTGAAAAATTTGATTTTTGGTCCTTGAAAGTCATTGAAAAGTCCTTGAATTTTTTTAAAAAAAAATTGAGTGGGAACCCTGTTTTATGTAAACTAAAAATAGAATAATTTGAACAAAATCCGCTAGAATGACTGTAGCTATCATCTAAATTATTAGAAATAAAAATTCAGACTTTTTTGTAAAAATATTTACATTATAGATGCTAATATATCATAGCTGCCAATCTATTTCCGCTGTAGATTTTCTTTTTGAAGTGGTAACATGTCCATTTTCTTTTAAATCTCTTTTTTTTAGCAAAGTTGATTTGTAATAATTTTGACTACCACTGCATATAAATAATTTAAATGAATTTATAAAGATCTTAACACTTTTGTTTAAAAATATTAAAATTAAGTGTTCACATAGTTTGTTACAAATTTCTGCCTGACCAGAAGAGGGCGTTGTAATCACTCACTCATTATAATTCTGTAAACACTTATGTGGCAGGCAATGGATTGATTTGGATGGCTCATTGGAGAGCCCCTTTTCGTATCATATATTTTTATTGTTTTATTATTAAAATTTTGTTTGTTATTAAATATGGATTCTTTAATTAATGCACCCATTCACCACTGAATCATTCTGCAACATAGTTTAATAATTCATGCCTACAATGACCCATAAATAAGGCTAATTAAAATGTAAAATCAATTGTTATATTCCTACCACCACAAAGAATTTTAGAAGGAAAGTTTTTTTAAAAAAATATGGTGTAACACTATCAATGCCTTTACGTATTCACCTTCGATCATAGACGGAGTGTCGACTCGATTTTCGACGTCCGGTCGATGATGTATATGTAAAACTTATTGAATATTGCTTAGTTTTTTCTTCCTGTTTTTAAAAAAAATTAATAAAAAAACATTTGTGTATTGCATAATTTTTGATAAATTTTACTTTTTGAAGCTTCAAGAATTTTGATTTTTACAGAAGATGAATTTTCTGCTATGTTCTTGATTCATAATAAGGCATCTGTTAATGTTACTACACCATCTGAGAAAGCAACACCTCTCCATTTAGTTGCCAGCTTTAATCCTAAAAAAGCTTCTCCTCTCCTCACTCTTGGCATGACAAGAGTAGCCTCTACACTTATAGAAAATGGTGCCAATCCTAATATGCAAGATATCAATGGAAAGTAAGTTTTTCCAGGGGTCGCATTCCCCCTAAAATTCCTAAAACTATGTGCAAACCCTATAATTCCTAAAAATCTGATAAAATTTTGTTGGTGTTCCTAAAAAGTTAGTTATAGGCTAAATATAAATAAAAAAGCAATAATCTAAAATATAAGAATTTAACTTCATTAACTAAAACTGTTTTAATTTTGCCACTTGGGAATTCTGATTTGGAGAGAGGTTTTTCGATAAATAAAGCAATGCTTAATGTGAGTCACCAACTATTATGTCTCTTAGACTAATCAAAGATACCATTCGAAATTATGGAGGAGTGTTGAAGATCACCACAACACTATTGAGGGCAATAAAAGAATCTCACAAATCATATCAAGAATATATTAGCAAAAAGATTATAATTAATTTGTTTTTCTCTAACTTCTAATATAAATTGCTGATTTGAAATCTAATAATATCACACAATAGTTTTTCTTAATAAGGTAAGGTAAAGGGTAATAATAAAGTTTTGATTAAGAAGGTAAAAATCAAAAAAGTATTCTAATTTAGAGAGGAAGGTTCTTTTTTTTAAAAAATTACTATAGAATCGAAATAGAATTTTAATTTATGGTAATAATTTTAATTAAAGGTATGCAGATTATTTGCTCTGAATTTTCGAACTATTTTTTTAATACTTTTATTGTTTATATAAACATCGCAGAGGATGAGAAAGGGAATTGTTTACAGTATATGTAACTTTAGTTAGCAATATTTTTGTCATGATTTCCGTCAATTTTATCTGATATTAAATTTTGGAGACTTTTCTGTGTACTTTAATAGTACATACAATTATCAGAGATATGAGAATTTAAATTGTTTAAAGTAAATACAATTTAAGACAGTATTATTTTTGTTAATATTTAAGTTGATACAGTTTTTATATGGTATATTTTTACTTCATAAATTATTAAATCATTTTCTGTATACTTAATCGGATAAGGATAGGAAAGAAATGAAATTGTGAATTTGTTTAATATATATATCGCTTATAATAATTTTAAGTTCGTAAAGTTTTAGTCAAATATTCCTTAATTTTTTATNAAGTAAGGTAAAGGGTAATAATAAAGTTTTGATTAAGAAGGTAAAAATTAAATAAAAATCCAAGTTGGTGTTAATTTATTTTTTCTCTTGATTTATTCTCACTTTTGCCTGTTCCTGAATTATGCACTTAATTTCTGATAGGTAATATGTAAAGTTGAAATTTCATTTTTACACTTTAGAGATTTCATTCTTGACTTAAAAAATTTCAGAGCTTTATTTTATGACTTGCAATTATTTATGATATGTATGGATAAATTATAATAATCTTCTGTTTTGTAATAGACTACCGTGTGATATATTTTTATCCTAGCAAAATCATATATTACCCCTAAAAGTTTTTGAAAAAATTTCCTAAAATTACCCTAAAATTTTAAAAAACTTTGCTGCTACCCCTGTTTTTCAACAATTGTTGGATTGGTTCGTATGGAATTTTCTAGGAACATATTTGTTAAGTGGAAGAAGTTTTCCATAACATGAGTAAAAAAATCTTTTATGGCTGTTAAATGAATAAAAAGTAATGATTATTTTTACTTTGTCATTCATTAACAATTTTGAAAGAAATTTAATGTCTGAAATAGTCATGAATTTAGTAAAATAAAATTTCAACGGGTTAAATGTTATAGATTTAGTGTTTTACTATCCTAATATTACATTTAAATGTATTTGGGGAGGGAGGTGCAATTTAGATTAATAATCAATGTTATCAACTATCACATCTTAGTTGACCCCACTTAGAATGATAAAATATCATTCAAATCTTATTTAGGGAATTTTTTTTTTATTGATACCTGGTTTCAATTTTAAAAAATACTAATAAGTTTTCTTTCATTTAGCACCTGTCTTCATCGCTCTATTTCTTCACAAAATGCTCCCATTTTTGAACTCCTGTTGCGTCACGAACACTTAGATCTCGAAATAAAAAATGCTGAAGGTCAGACAGTGCTCTGGTTTGCATTGGATGAGGGTATTGGTGGTTATGACGATGGTAGCTTTGCTGCTAAACTTGTTAAAAGGGGTAGCTGTCTGGATGCTATCTGCCCTCTTAATGGTTAGTATCTAACATAGATCTGAAAAAAAAAACATATTTTGACCTTAAGAATGTATATTTTAAAATTTATTTTTATAGAATGTATAAAACTATAAAAATTTTCTTCACCCAACATGTATCTTTGATGGGTGATGAATTGGGTTAAATATTTAGTCAAAATATTAAATAATATTTAACCCTAAATTCACTGTTTGATAATTTGAAGAAACAAAAACTCTAGACAAGATACCAGATAGAGAAATGTGTCGATCACACAAATAATGTGAAATTTAACTTTTCTCTGTATTATAAAATTTTATTCATTATCCTTGGTTATTTGTGTGGCTTAGCTCACTAAAATATAAATTTTTTTATATCAATCACAGTTGATGAGAAAAATCTCTGAAACTAGTTTCTTAACATAAAAAATATTAACATATTTTTCATTCTAGATTATTTTAACACTTCCTTTTTCTTTTTATAGAATTCTTTTTATTTTCTTATTTTATAAAAGCAGCATAAAAGTTGTAACTTTTTTTTTTTTTTTGAGAGAGATGCTATTTTTTTTTCATACTAATATTTTTTTTGTAAGGTCATAGTAATATATATATAATTATATACCAAAAAGTATTTAATATCATAAATTAGTTTTCAATATTTAGGAGATACCTTGCTACATTTGGCTTGCCGTGCAAATAATGAAGAAGCTGGCATATTTTTAGCTGTCCATGGAGCAAAAACAAACTTAACTAATAATAAGGTGTGTTTATTTACTTTTTATTTGTAAAAAAATGCCTACAAAATTCACAAGAAGTAAATTAAAATTTGAAACCTTAGAAATAAACTTTTTTTAGTCTTCAGTAAATATTTCATTTGTCATTTCACTTTTTAGTAACAGTTTATTATAAAAAAAAATTTAGCAATTTATTTATAAAAAACATTATATTATTACTTATTGATTATTATTTTTATTACAGTGAAACCTCACTTTCATTATACTTATCTAAGACCTCACATTGCAAACAATTTTTGAATTCTTCAGCAGTCTTCTCTTTTTATACCCTCTTTCCTTGGGGGAGGCGAGTTAAGGGAACATTATGATTTAAGTAAAAAAAAAAAAAGGATTCTTTCAAACCTCTTCTAGGCAGATATACCCTGTTTTTGTAAATATATTTTTGTTAGGCAATTTTTAAGGCATGAATTTTATATAGATGAATGTTTTCACCGGCAAAGTAAGATGAAGGGTTAATTTCTGTTTTGTGAATAAGAATCTCAAAACTAGCATTTCTTTATGGCTTATGTCAATTGGGTTGCATTGTAATTTATTGTATAATTGTATTGTGTCCTTCTATAATTGTATTTTTACAACAGCTCCTGTGGGACTTCTTAGAAGTAGATATTTCCATAGTTTATGTAACACGTACGATATTAATGTGGCTTTTCATATTATAAATTGAAATTGAATCCATTCATTAATAACTGACTTAGTCGTAGAACAATATTTCAAAAGGTTATTGTGGAACCAAAACACTTTTATGTCTAAAAATGATCCAATTGGAGTTCAGTGAATCAATGTGTCACAAAGATTCCAAATATCACAAAAGAATTGATGAACTGCGAAACTATTTAAATAGGATATTTTTTGCCCCTGTCAAATCAGTGTAAAATGTATAGTTCATATCTTGTCATTTTAATCATTATATTTCATTCAGTTATTCCTTATTTTTAATCATGTCTATTATTTAACCGTCATGTTAAGAGTTATATCATCAGATTTCTCAGTTAGCCTATTCTTCTCCCAAGCAAATAATTTTGTCTATCCCTTGGATGTTTGTTTCACCAAGGCATTTTAAATGTAAAAATAGAATTTAAAAAATTTAATTTGATTTTAGCCAGTCCATTTTCATTAATATTATAGAATCTGAAATGTGTAGCTGTTAATTTGAAAAAATAAATGACTAGGTTATGACATTTTGAACTGCTGCGAGGTAAATGAATTGTATGGAGCAAAACCCGTTAAAATGTCTTATTTAGCCAAAGCATTCTCTTTCTATTGTCCATAAAGGAAGCTTATTGCCATATTTACAAAATTAAACACTATAAAAACTCTTGTTACTGTTAAACATTTAGACTTTAAACTGGATAAAATTGATTTAATTGAATTGCTGTAATCTTTTGTAGGGAGAAGCACCTCTTCATATATCTTGTCACAATGGTTTGTCTGATTTGACAACTGTTCTTTTGCAAAAGGGAGGTAACGCTAACCTCCAAACATTTTCACCTGAGACTGTATCTAGTGTTCCATTTGAAGATGAAGAAGCTGTTTATCAGCAGACTCCCCTGCACCTAGCCATTTTAGGCCAGCATGAAGATACCATACAGGCTCTCATTGATCATAAAAGTATTATTTAACGATTTATATTGATTCTATAAACAGTCTTAAATCCGAATTTTAATGTTCACATTATTTTATTAAACTTATTTTTTTAATATATAAGAATGATTTAATCGAGTACAAAGTCTTTAAATATTCTTGATTTTTTTTTCTTCATAGTGTCATTATCGTTGATAGAACAAAAGCAATCATATTAAATCATAGTCTAATTATGATGTAGTAAAAGCCTGACTACCCAGAATTAAACTGACCAGAAAGTTGAAATTACCCAAATTTTCAAAACTTATTTTAAAAGAAATGTTCTTTATAGTAAAAGTTAGATTGCCAGTGATACATAACAGATGTAAAAATCAAATTGAGAATAATGAACGGTGTGCACTGCCTCTTTTATCAATTTTTATTTTCAAGGCAGAATGTAACTTGCAAAGCGTGACCCATTCACGAGAACATTAAATATTTAAAAAAAAATTTACAATCAAATATATTCTGTGAGAAGAATTGTCTCAAAATATTGAATAAAAATGTTTGTCACTGTTTTTTATTAGTTTAAAGAACGGTTATAAATTTGGAATAAGAAATATGATATTTGTGATAAAAATGTTCTTTTTAAATAAAAACAGAAATCTTCTCTTCTATTCCTTTTTACATAAAAAAAAATGCAAAATGTGAGCAATATTGGTCAAATAGTTCCAGAGAAATCAAATTTAAAAAACATGACTTTTTTAAATTTGATATCTCTGGAACTATTCTACCGATTTCAATCAAATGTTTTATTTTTCCTTGTAAAATTAAATTTTTTTAAATAATGTAAAAAATTGTATATCTTACAATTCAAAATTTTCTTGACTATTAATAAGTAAAATAATAAAAAATAATTAATATTTTTAAAAGTTTTTTTTTTGTTTGGAATTATCTTTGGATAAATGAATTTTATAGTTATGTGTAAAAATGTTTCAATTTGGAGAAGTTTTCGAAATAATGCAAAATACGCTGAAAGTAAAATGAACGTTAAGAGATCCAAATTGTCGACCGCTTTCCTGACCAAACTATTAGGACCCTATTTCCCAGATTTTGACTACCCTTTATGTTTTTGGGATCAGAAATCTGAATCCCTAAAAAAATAGTATGTTTTTGCAGCGAAACTCTGTTTTTGTAATTTATTTCCTAACTTAAAATATCTTCTGCATTAATTAATTTGCAAATTTCAGATCTCCTCCTCAAACCATTAAGATTGAGTCCTAGAGCATGAAACTTTAGATGCAAAGTTATTCAGGGTGGTCCATTTTTTATTTTGTGCATTGTATGCCACTATTTCTAAAACTTCTTATTTAGTTGATATATACACTTTTAAAATTCTTCTTGCTCTGGTTAACCTGCAAGCTTTGTTTAATTCGCCACTTGCGCAGCACGTTGACTAACAGAGTGACACACATATTTCGTCAAGTTAGTGGCAAATCTGATATTTTTTACCTAAACATTAGTGTCCTAAGCACTAAAATTTTTTATCAAAAAAGAAAAACTTGTAGTATATTTGTAGAAAATTAAATACTTTTAATTATTAAATTTCATTCTAAAGCATAAAAATTCACACTTTTTCTGAAAAAAATTTCCCTTTTTATTGATAATTGATTCATAAAAAAACAAAACGAATAACACTAATATATATATATATACAACAAAAAGTTGATAAAGTGATCGAGAAACAACATAGATTTACAATAGAATCTGTGGAAATAGTGCGCATCAGTAAGTAATGACTAAAATGTGCAAAACATTTTTCTTTTTCAAAAACATAAATTATTGTGTTCAGAAACTTTCGCGGCTGCGCATTAATATTCGGCTGGCTACAGGCGTTTCACCCCTTATGGAGAGATTATTATACTTTCGTGATTCAGAACAAGGTTTGAAAATGAATCATTCTTACATTCTCTCTTGAGTCTATAAAAATTCTTGTCATTTTAAGTACTGTAATAAATGTTACAACCAAAATTTGGTTAACTGATCCTTGTTACAAACCAAACCGTACATAAAGAAAATTTCTGATTTTGCCTTGACTTTTATTTTGAACCACTATGAAGCGTGTATATTAAAAATGATACAAAATTTGAAATTATTTCTCCTAATTTAGATTCATTTCTATTGATTTCTTAATTTAAGATTTTAAAAGCCTTGATTAGTTCAGAAAACTTTGAATGTTTGCAAAAATTTTCATCTGAATTGACTTTGTGTTTCTATTATAGTTACTCAGTTATTGAAGTAACTGGCTAAATGTTGGATCAAATAGACTAAAATAATTAAATCTTAATTTTTCAGCCTTTTCACAAATAAGCTGTGAAAGCAGTGTGGTTGTACCAAACTTTAACATCAAAAACTCAAAAGGTCAAACTCCTTTGAGCCTAGCGTTAGAGCTCAACCTCTTCAAAGTTGCTCAAAAACTATTATCAGGTGGTGCCAGTGTTGACATTGTCAATGATGACGGTTTAACTCTTCTTCACCAAGCTATACTGAATCAGAATATAGAAGCTGCCTTGTTTCTGCTTGAGAATAGTGCAGACTTTAACATAAAGTAAGGTTTTATTAACACCATTATTAAAACACATACAATTAGCGGCAATTGAATTGATATAATTTTTTGAGTAGTTTAAACTATTGTTTTCAAAATAGGATGTGGATCACTCAGGGGTCTGTCCAGGGTAAATTTACTACCATTGAGTGGTACCTTCACAAATTCAACTTTAGGAAAAACGGTAGATTTCACAAAATACTTTTTGAAAAGCAAGTTCTCATGCAAACCTGGTTCTCTCTGCAATCTATGAAAAAGATGAGCTTTTCTGCCAGCGGTCTTTTACAAAAAGGTAGCACGTGTTTGGTCAGATAGTGCAATGTGGTAAGCCTGACCGCACGCTTACACCATATCAAAGCGAGCTTTTTTTTGCAGTCAGTTTTTTAAAACAAAACGATGAGGCTTTCCCTCTATAAACTTTACAGGAAGTCAAAATTCGGACATTATTCTAAACATTTGAACATTATAAACACTATTATAAATTTATTCAAACAGACCTTTATTTTTTAACAAGCCATTTTTTTCTTGGTGAAATTTTTTCATGTATGTGACCTAATTGAAAATGTTCTCATAATGAAAATGACTTTTAGTGCTAGTACTGTTAAATGCATGATTTTATTAAATTCAAATTGAAATTTAACTATAGACAATGATTTTTATGGATTTTTAAATTTAGATACAATTTTAAGCCCAAATTTTGCAATAGCAAAATTATTTTTGAATATATGGGAAAAAATATGTATAGAAATTTACGAGTAATAAATGTTTTTTTTTTTTGTTTTTTTTATTGACAATTTTTAATAATATTTTCTTACTTTACCATATTTTTGTGTTGATTTTTTAACATAATTTTTAACAAATTATGTCTTAAATTTTCACAAAATAAGTACCTCTTTAAAAACCTTGACAGACCCCTGAAAGTACGATTAGTATTTATTATAACCTTTTCTTCATTAACTGTGATTGGAATTGTCCAATTTTTTAGTAGTTTAAAAAAGTGCTATCTACATATGGTGTGAGTCATTCACTTCATTTGAAAAGCATTAAAATAAAATTGCAAAAATGTTTAAGGCATTCTTACTTGATAGATTTTATGTGCAATCTATCTTAATTCATTTTTGGCCTGTGGCTAGTCCCTAATTATACCAGACAACATTTTGTCTCAAAAGAGCTACATTACAGCTCGGAGACATTTTTTCTTGTGGTGGTAGCCAGAGATAATTATGTCAGACTAATAGAAGCCATGAAGGGAGAGTATAATAGTACACACTTCATTAATAGAATAATTGTCTTAATTGCATTATATTAATATTCTATGTGCATAGTTTAAGTTTCAAAAAATAATTTTTTTGTAATTTATTTTTGACTTAAAAAAATATTTTATTCTTGTGATGTTAAAAAAATTTCAATATTTACCTTTCGCTGTTTACATTTGTAAAAGAATTGCTACATAATTCTCCAAGAATATCATTTATAAAAGAAAAAATCTTAGCTCTTTTCTTTTACTTGTACTGAAAAGCAGCCTGATAAGCTGAAAATGTTAACATTCATTGAAAGTTTATATAGTGGAAGACTTATAAGTTGTGTGATCTATTTTGATTTTCTCTTAAATTTTTTATTATTTATTTATTTGTATTTGAATAATATTGGTCATCGGGAAGAAACTTATTCTTGAAGTTGATCATATTGACAATTTAAAATCATTAGTGTGATGGTTTTTGTGATTTTTTAAATAAAGTCCAAAAATTGCGTTGACTAACATTGGGATGTGGTTACGGGTGACGTCAATTCTGTCCGAGCACCTAGCGGAAGATCCTCGGCTTTGAGAGAGTGCCTTTGTTAGCTCGAAAATTTGTATTTCTAGCTGCTTTTTTTTAATCCTTTTAAAAGAAATGTTGGATTTGCCAAAGGACACTTTTCCATCTGTTTCTGTTCTTATGGTGTCATATTTTAAAAAGTAGAAAAAGAATTACACAATTCCAATTCCTAAAAATAGAAAAGTTTTGCATGATCAGTATAAAATGTATATTCTGATTTTAAAAAACAATACCTTGCAAAATAATACCTGTATTTGAAAAACATTCAACTATACTTGAAAGAAAAAAAGGATCTAAATATAGGAATGCAGAATGGGGGACAGATTAAGAAGTAATTGTACTTGTTAATTATATATAATAACCTTATATCATATGTTTAACAATTTGCATTGAAATCAGTTTTTATCTCTTTTTGATCTTTATTTTTAAAAATTTCAATATAAATGTTAAGATTAATATCTGGCAACATCTAATCTCTTATTTTTTAATTATTCATTTTTTTTGTTACTGTTGATATCAAGTCAAGTGCAAGTTTATAAAATGAAAATTTTGAGAGAAATAAATATTTCTACAACAATGGTTAAATAATTGTTATTTAAGGAAAAAAAATTACAAAAAAACACTTAAAATTGCAATAACTTCCAAACAAATTGAAATTTTGGAGAAAAAAAAAGTTCTTGTTAAATTTGTAATCAAAATGGCCCTATCAGCACAAGTTTTAACTCGGAAGTTTAATTTCAGCCTGCAGTGCATTAGCCAAAACAGTTTTTTGTTTTTTTTAAGTTCAAGTTTAACAGTTGATAATTCTCGAACTAATAATTAAATCTTACATTTTTTTAGTCATATAGATCAATTTCAAATAGATTCTTGTTCTTTTTCTTCACACTTTCATAATTTCAAGTTTCTAGGTTCGAACAAAAATCTAATGTGAAGTTGAACCCTCAAAATAGCAGCGATTACGATTTTTTATTACGCAAAAAAATATATATTTATTTTACTAAATTTTTTATTGTTTATGCACAATCCTTTTCATTACCCGATTATAAATTTCATTTCCTTCAAAAAATATATAAATAGGAAATAATAAATACATGTTTTAAGCACACAAAAACAGGCACCCATTTTCAAGACTTGCCAGGCATGAATGAAAGAAACAAAAGTGATTTGAAATGTAAAGCAAAAGATTGAATATAATGCAAAAGATTGAAATATAAAGCAAAGGATTGAAATAGAAAAATAAAGGTGATAAACATAACTAGTAAAGACATAGTAGATGAGAAAAGAAAAGAAAAACAAGAAAAGCCGCAGTGACCAAGAGGTGCAAATGAGGATGAATTGCATTTCCACATGCTATAGAGAGGTGGTGAGGAACTAATGTCGTTAACTAGGGACTAAAACAATTATACGAATAAAACAAGATTCCATTGCATCAAGATGAGCTGAGGTGGAAATTGAATTTAAGACAAAGATTCCAACAATCTATTGGAATCTTGCACATAGAGGCTTTTAATTTTTTAAAAATTAACTAATGGTCCAATTTAAAACAAATTTTCACAAATCATATTATTTTAATGAAATCTTCCAAATAAAACAAAATTTAAGAAATCGGTATCTTCCATATTAAGTAAAACATATTGATTGTATCCTGTGCATAGTAAAGTATATTTTTAACCATAGAAAATTTGAATTTTAAAGCCACTTTTTCTTAATCGTGTAATGTATTAAATTATTTTACTTATCTGTTGTTATTTTATTCCAATGTTTCAGAACTAGGGATAATGAAAGTTCATTGCAGCTGGCTGTGAAACGCCACCTTCCCTCTGTTGTAGATGCATTATGTCGTGCTGGAGCTGATGTCAACACAAAAGATGAGAATGGTGATTGCGCTCTATGGATCGCTTTAGAGAGTGGGCAGGAAGACATTGCTTCTATACTGGTACTATCATCCATTCATCAATATTTTAAGACCTAAAGTAATGTGCGTTTTTTTTATCTAAGTATTCTCAGTTGTTGCCGCGTTATTTAATCAATGTATTCTAATATTTAACTTTAAAATTTTACTTTCTTGTGTTGCATTAGTTCAGAGGTAGATATAAATACAATGGAATATTTACCATCAAATAAATGTTTGAATCGTGAATACTATGTGAAATATTTTTTTAAAAATTGGTTTTTGTACATGTTTCATTCTCCTGTAATAAACAATTCTGTCAAGATTAGGGACTTCAACATTTAAAAATAAATTATTTTCAGCCAAGTTATTTTTTTTTCGGCTGTGTTTAAGTCTATTTTTCAATACTTTGCATCACAAATGCTGTGAAAATTTCATGTTTGCTGAATTCATAATTCTTTATTGATTGAAATTTTATTTTAAATTTTTACCTGCAAGTGTGTCAGGAAATGACTTTGTAAAATGTTCTGATATCTTGTTATATATCTCATTCACGAGCAGATTGGATATTGAAAAAGAAATGTAAAGCAAATTGATGCCTAGATTAATTTTATTAAAAGCTTATAGTGGAAAATATATAAATATAGTGGCCTCATGACTTTAATTTTAATTGTAAAAAAAAATTCACTAATTTAATGTTTAAGTTACTCTATTAATGAAATGTTTTTGTTTTATGTTGTCAACCTAAATTGTCAGTTAGTTTAAAAGAGGACCGATTGTGTCGTATATGACACGATAGCGTATCTGACATTTCCAAGCAATTTTATGAAATAGAAGCTTATGAATGAAGTAAAGGTTAGCTAAAAGGCTTCATTCTCATAGTAACATATTCCCAAGAAAATGACAGGAGAGAAAAAAAGCAGATTGTAAAGGAAACTGCTCAGCAATAAGCTAATCACACTGTATTTGCAAGAATAAATCTACAAATTATGAAAGAGTTAAACTCAGAAATAAAGATACTCTTGTAGAGAACTTAAATTTTCTGGACTTGGAAGTCACCAAAACACCAAATATAAAATTATGTTTACCTGCTAGTAGAAAATGCATGACATTCAAAAACTGTCATTAAATTTATTTTTCAATTGTAAAAAATATGTTCATTTGAGATGAAAAATTTTTTGGTAAAACATGTCAACACTTTACTCATTCTCTCTTAATAGTTTAAATATGAAGTTCTTATAAAAATAGCTGTCGATTTAAGATATAATTCTTTAATAGTAAATAAAGAATACTTAAGTATTGTTTTTTGCTAGGAATACAAATTTATTTGTTCTGTTTGAATGCAAATCAAAATTAAGAATAACTATAAAAATTTTGAGAATTGCTGAAATCAAATAATATAAGATATTGAATTGAAATATCAAAAAAAAAAATTTTTTAATTAGAATTCTTTATTTTTACTTAAAATATAGTTTTTTTCTTTTATTCAAATACAAATGTCTTAAATTAATAAATTCAAATTGTTTCCTTCTAAATCTTTTTTTTTTGAGCTTCTCACTTCTCTGCTTTTAATCAGCTGAAATTCTTTGACATTATAATGAAGAAATTATAATGAATACTTTGTTTACCCATTATTGTCACTATTCTTGCAAATTAAAGAGGCCTTCTTGCAAAAAGAAGAAAAAAAAACTTATAAAAGATAATTAGCAAAACAAATTCAGTATTACAAAAACTGTTCATAATAACGATGTTTGTAATCATGTCCATTTATATATTTTTACATATAAACATTTTATGTATTTTAGGGTAAAATAAATAAATAAAATTTATTTTTGAAAATATTTGTTATTTAGACTAGTTTATTTAATAAGAGTTAATTTATATTAAGAAAATTTTTAATTTTTTAATGCATTATGTTTTGATTTTATATTTCTGTAGATAAAGGCTTTCTTTGAAAAATATTTTTTATTTGTTTTATGTTTCAGGTGAAACATGGATGTGATACCAATTGCTGGGGAGAAGGACCAGGTGGTTGTTATCAAACTTTATTACACCGTGCCTTAGATCAAAATAATGAATCAGTTGCTTGCTTTTTAATAAGGAGGTAAATAGGTTTTTTTTTCATTAGTTTAAATGTAAGTTTGTTAAAAAAATTTAATTTTAGCATTTTTATTTTTGACATTAAATCTTTATGTAGTTTCTCCATTTGTAAATTTTTTATTATTAAACTTTATTTTCTAGTGCTGGATTAGAGTCTAAAATGTTTTTGGGATTTCAGTTTGAATAGTTTAAATTTTCCTAATTGCATTTTAAATTTTACTACACTAAGATTTATATAAATGTTGAATGTAATTATTAACTAAAAATGAAAGAAATTATTTATTAAAACAAATTAAGTCTTAAGTATATACTACGGGACCATTACCCCCTCCATATGAATTTTTCCATATGAACATCAGCATACAATAAAGATAAAATGTAAATTAATTTGTTGTTTTATGTACTGCAGAATAGGGAAATGGATCACTTAATTTTTAGTTAGATTTATATAAATAACTTTAAAGAAAACAAATATAATTTTAAAATACACTATAAAACTGTATCTATAAGAGATCCTATGTTTTAAAATAGTGGCTGTGACATGGACAGCCCCCGTAGGCCGAGTCCTGAAGGTCGAGGAGAAGAAGAAGCATTTGATGGACAAAGTGCATTGCACTTAGCAGCTGCCTGGAGTCTTGAGGAAATTGTACAAACACTCATAGAACATGGTGCAGATGTAAACCTTCAGGTATTTCTCTCGTTCTTATGCAATGTTATGTTTTGTTCAAACTCATTGGTGTTGCCTTATTTTTAAAAGTCTTTCAATAACAATAAGTTTATTAGTTATATATTGATATTCAAAAGTTTTCGGATTTATTTAGGTTCAAATAATTTTAATTATTTGGATAATTCACGAATAAATGAAATATATTTTCCAATTTGAATAAATTTCTGGCCCATATTTCTGTCTTTCATTATTTTTTAAAGCTTTTTTTAAGGTGATGCAGAATTTATTTTGTACTGCATAGTTTATACATGTGAGGTAAATATACCTGTATAAATATAACTAGACATATAAAGGGGGAAAAGTTTAAATTTAAAGTGTAGTTTAGGGGTGCACAACCTTTTTGAGTGAAGGGCCACTTGCACAGCAGGTTGACTAACGAAGGGCCGCACATGTATTTAGACATGTTAAAGACAAATGTAATAATGTTTATTTAAACATTAGCGTTCCATTTTTTTTTTCTCAATTAACTTAGTAATATCAATAACTTAGTAGTGTTCCATTATTGAAATTCATTCAAAAATAAAAAAACTTATACTTTTTTTTACAAAAAAAACAACTTCCTATTTTTATCATATGAACAATATATTTATCAAAATAAATAAACATTGAAGAAAAGAAATGTTTTTTCTATCATATCATGCAATACGAAAATTCATTTTAGAATTAAATTCGAATAAATAAAAAAAACTGCAATGACACAGAATGAAAGTAGGAAAAAGTTTAGTCCTAATTAAGTAATATAAATTCAAATTAAATATTTTAATTGAAGAAAATTTATGGGTTTTAAACAAAAGCCTAAAATAAAAACAAAACTTTGATAGTTCAAAATAAAATTCAATGCTTATTTTGCAATGTACTTTATTATATTATTAATTATTAGATTTTCTTAAATCGTAATCATTTTCCTTTTTTTTTATCGAAAAACATCACTTAAGCAACAAAAAATTGAAATCTAAACTACAAACAGTGAGTAGTTTAAAAATTCACGTTTTCCGTCATTTTATGAATTTCTCAAGTTGCAATAACATTGCATTTAAATTAGGGAGGGATGTAACGAGTATTTG